CCCCCAGCTCCAGGAGGGATAGCCATGCCACAATCCCTTCTCCTCCATTCTCCTCTCAGGATCTGAGGCACATATACATGCACCCGGGTGTTGAGTTTCAAGCTGCTGGGACTTGAACCATGGTAAACTACATGGGAGTCCACCGACATAACCATTACGCCATCTGCTGGTCCCAAATAAATAATTCTTAAAAAAGAAAAAGAAAGTCAATGACATTAACAGCCAGCACATATTTGCGATACTGTACACCAGGCCCTGGTTCCCCGCCACCAAGAGATTTTTACTATAGGGTGTGTGCATTTGCCAGATAGATAGACAGAGACAGAAAGTGAGAAATCATCCCCAAGGGATGATGGCCACACCCCACAACCCATTCTCCATTCTTCTCAGGGCATGCATGTGCACACATGCCCAGTGTAAGTTTGAAGTCTAGGACTCAAGTGGCAGTCAACCATGTAGGAGTACAGAGCTTCAACCACTACACCATCTACTGGCCCCCACGCCCTGTTTTAAGCATAGTTTATGTAACTATTTAATACTCCTATCAACACCATATGCTAGGTGTTAATTCTATCTACACTGTACGTGATGATACTCAGGCAAAGAAACGTTAAATAACCTGCTTGGGATCACACAGTACCAATTAGCATTTGTTTCAGAAATGTTGGCAAAGCTACTGCCACTTTTAGATGAAACTGTGTCTCATCCAACGGCTGGCTGCCACTTTTTAAGTTGAAGCAGCATTGCCACCTGTGTAGTCCCGAGAGGTACCTTAGGGCCTGTGTTCATGCATCTAGTGACAACCCCTTATGCCTAGACAGTCTCTCTCCTGACCTCCTGCTTCTTTCCTTTGTCTACAGGCCAGGTCGGACTCCTCAGAACCTACATCAAGACTCAGTTAAACAAGGAGCTGGGACAGATCCAACAGCTGGTTGAGGAGCGACTCAAGGCCAGTGAGGAAAGGCTCAATAGTAAACTGACTGCCCTAGAACAGCCCTTCCAGCTACCTCCACACAAAGGCAAGAACAAGACTAAGTAATACCCAGTATTTTCCCCAATAAAGGCCTGGGCCAGAATGGCCCCATCCCCGCACCTCCTCCTGTGTACCTTCTGGGCTTTCCTGCCAAAGCCAGACACCAGACACAGCGCACCAGCTCTCCCTGGCGTGTAGCAGATTTTATTTCATATGCAGCACAAGCAATGCTGATAAAGCCAGGCATGGCATTCGCAGTGGCTCCTTTCCACCCCAGCTCTGATCTCAGAGCCCTGGCCAGCGGGGGTAGGTATACAGGGCTGGTATTTATGATAGATGCATGATCGGTGGTGGGCCTACCTAGGCAGGGGCGCCTGAGGCGAGAGCCCAGAGGGACTGGAATGACCAAAGCCCTCCTCCTAGAGGGAGTTGCTTTCTGAGATTGTGCAGAGCTAAGGTCCTAGCCCAGCACCATTGCAGCCTCATCCTCGGTGATAGTAGCTGAGTCCCCTTCTTCTTCGGGTCCAATACTGGGAAGAGGCCCAGGAGGCTGGTGCTGGAAGAGGGCTGCCCGATTCTGTTGCTCACCCTTTTTGACCCAGTGCCCATATAGCCGGAAAGCACAGTTGTCGATGAGGCGTCGCACTGGCCGCAGGGCATAAGGGTCCCTCAACAGTGCACTCTTAGTCAGTGGTCGTACACGGTGGGTGCTTAAGGCCACTCGTCCAGCAGCCAGCACTGTCCACACTGCCACCTGGGAAGAAGACTAATGTGAGCTCCAGTGGAACATCTAGCATAGAACAAAGATCATGGGACACAGGCACAGGCCTGACCCTGTCTCTTAGGCTTACCCGGAACCGCTGGCGGGGGGTGAGGTTCCAGGGTTGGCTGCCTTCACAACGCTCAAAGAAGGGATGTTGTAAGGCCTGTTCAGCTGTCAAACGCTCCTCAGGGTCCACTTGCAGCAGCTTTGAAATCTAGGAGAAACCCAGAGAATGAGGAGCAGCTCTTGAGCCTTGCCCACTGTCCTCTCACGGTCCCAGCTCACCAGGTCTTTGACGGTGTTTGAACGGTCATCCCATTCAGGTGAACTAAATTGGTACTGGCCCTCCATGATCATGCGTAACATCAGGATCTGGCGCCGGTGCCAGAATGGAGGTGAGCCAGCTAGGAGTGTGAACAAGATCACCCCACAAGCCCAACTGAGAAAAAAAGACTAGAGTCAGGCAAGACTAGGTAATGGGCAAATATACTGAAGTACAGTAAATACAGGCGGGGGTGGAGGGAAACCAGAAACTCACAGGTCGACCTCCTTGCCGTAGCCTGGGTGGGTTTCATCCATGGAGCATTTAAGAATCTCTGGTGCTAGATACCCTGGTGTTCCACACAGCTCTGGAGGGAGAGGGTCAGTATTGAGAGAATGCCACCATCCCCCCCTCCAGGGCCCTTAACACCAGATCTCTGCTGGAGCCTCTTCAACACTACCTGGGCTTCCAGTGTTCCCATTCTGCTCCTATCTGCCTTCTCGTGAATCTCAGTACCAGACACTATCCCAGCTGAACAATTCAAATGCCACAGGTACAACATGTTGGCTCTCCTAGGCTAACATGGTTTTGGATTGACTTTAGGGTTCTACATCACAGTATTATTTGCCTCCTCTAACCCTCCAGTCAAGCCAAATACCTATTCTCACACAACTTAGCACATTTTTCCATATGGAACATACATATGGGAAACAGAACTTAAGTTTTTCTGCCCTTTCTGCCAAACCTATTCCTCCTCCTATAATCTCTATTCTAGTTAGTGGAACACAATTCAGGGGCAGCAAATGAAAATAAGGGATTTCTGGGGCCAGCAGGTGGTGTGGCGGTTAAAGCACTGGACTCCCACAGGGCTTATGGGTTCAAGTCCCAGACCTGGTAGCTTGCTTTCTCTCTGTGTCTCTCTTGTAAACACACATGCCCTATAGCAAATTAAAAAATAATAATAAATAAAATTTAATTCAATTATATATGTTTTTTTTTTTGTTTTTTTTTTTTTAACCAGAAAGGGACTGAGCAAGACAGAGAAAGTGAGAAAGCAAGCTGACAGGTCCAGGACTCGAACTGTGGTCAGCCACATGAGAGTTCAATGCCCTTAACCTCCATGCACCTGCTGGCCCCAATATATGGGATTTTTAAAGCATATACTGGGAAGTCTCTTTTTAAAACTTTTCCAGGGCCAGCAGGTAACACGGAGGTTAAGGCAGTGAATCCCATATTGCCAATTACATGATTCAAATCCTGAACCCAGTGGCTTGAACATCACTACAGGTGCATGGGCATTCAGCCCAAATTCCTGAGAGTAGACAGGAGGAGATGGGATTGTGGTGTAGCCATCCCCATGGGAGCTGAGTTCTCTCTCTATTTTTCTCTGGTGAGTACATGTGCCCTACTGCAAAAAAAGAAAAAAGAAAAAAAATAATAATAAACTCTTTCCTGATTTCTCATCATGGCATCAGGAACAAGTCTAGACGCCTACAACTCAGAGCCCTCCATGAATTGATACAAGTCTATTATTTTTAGTTTGTCCTGCCACCTTGGGCGCCTAGCAATTTCTAAACTATGTTCCATGACACACTTCCAGAAGATTTTAATAGACAGGAAATAATAGATGAGTCTCTTGGAAATTTTTTTTTTAAGAGAGAGATTTTTGCTATAGGGTCCATGCATTCACCAGAGACAGAGAGAGAGAGAGAGAGAGAGAAACTGAGAAACCACCCCCAAGGGGGATAGCCATGCCACAATCCCGTCTCCATTTTTCTCTAGGAATCTTGGGCATGCACGCACACACACATATCCAGCCTGAGTTTTAAGCTACCAGGTCTGACACTCAAACTGCAGTCCCCTACATGAGAGTCCAGCAACATAACCATTATGCCATCTGTTGGTCGCAGAAATCCATTCTTATATCAGGTATTTAATAAATATAGCACACATATTAGCCACAGTGGTGAATGAAATGTGCCCTTACTGAGCTCATGGTCTACAAGAAAGCAATGACAAATAATAGGTATGTGTGCCGTGAATGGAGAGGAATAAAAACAAATAGCTTGGGACCTAACTAACCTGACCTGTTCAAAGTAACATCTGAATTACCCAAGCTAAGGGACAAAGACACAGTGGGTAGTGGCAAAGATGACTCCAGAAAGGAGAAAGATATATGAGGGGACTTCAAAAAGTTTGTGAGAAAATGGAATTAAAGTTTATTTTGGTGCAAATAGTTTTGAATGCTTTTTTTTTTTTTTTGAAGAGGTTTTTTTGCTATAGGGCATGTGTGATCACCAGACAGACAGAGACAGAGAGACAGAAAGCGAGAAATCACCCCCCACAAGGGGGATGGCCACACCGCAATCCCTTCTCCTCCATTCTCCTCTCAGGATCTTGGGCACGTGCACACTCG